TTGAGCAGAGTTGCCTCTTACTCTTCTGGAATTCACCCCCTCCTTTCTGGGTAGCTACCTCTTCACTACATTCCATCACAATTGATCAATGTCATAGGCTTCTCCCTAAATTGGTGGAGACGGAATGTGATATAACTCAACTTTTCCTTTGCTTTCCTTTGGATTCTTCTCTATTCTGCTGACAAATCTTGAAGAAGAGGTGGGGGGGAAGGGGAGGGGTTTCTGACAGCAAAAAATAACTTTTATTTTATCCTTGTGCCTTCCAGTTGCTAAAGGTTTTAGTATTCAAAGATTGTGCAACCGAAACAAATGTACTTTTTTTAAGCTAAAAAAAAAGCTTGTGAGTGGTATGCTCAGAAGTCCTCAGTCAAGTTCCTAAATAGCTTTTTTTCTGTATTCTGTTGATGCAGTTACTTGATAAAGTACTGTGATAAGTTCTGGAAACAGAAAAGATGTACAATTTTGCACAAAACGTATGTTAATTGGTGTTTAATATGAACTAACCCCTGTATTAATGAGAATGCACATCCCATGTCTCTCTGCATTCTATTCACCATTAATAATAATACCCATATGTCATATAGACAAATTGTACAAGGCTCAAGAGGCCACTTATAGCCATGGTTGTGGAAATGCTGATGAAGCATCTGAGTGTTGAAGTGTGCTAAGCTGAAATCAAGCACTCTGCAAGTATTCAAGCAAAGATTTATGCTGTTAATTAAAAATTAATAATTATCCTTGATTCAACAGTCCAGAACAGATAATAAATCCTAGCAGGCTTGTGCTGGAGAATGCCTCATTACACTTAAAAGTTAAGGTCTTGGTCTGATCTCTCACTTTAGAGGTTTGAAAATCATAGCAATGTTTACATTGGCACTCCAAGTTTGTAACAGCAGACTGCATATGACTCCTAAATGATGAGATGTGTATCTCTAAATTAAAATTCGTAGATTGTACAAAATAGACTAAATCTGGCTTTGGTTGCACTTTGAGCGAAAGTGTGTCAAAACTGACTGATGTTATCATAGAACAGAACTTGTATCCTGCATCATAGATACAACAAAGGCTGATATCTAGTCTATTGCTTCTCTTTCTTACTAAAGGAAGTATTTCAGTATGCAAAAACCCAAGCCATAATTGGTGCTAGAGGCTAATATCTATCATTTGATGGCTATAGCAGAGGTGGGTTTCAGCAGGTTCTGACCAGTTCTGAAGAACTGGTAGTGGAGATTTTGAGAAGTTCGGAGAACCGGTAGTAAAAAATTCTGACTGGCCCCGCCCCCATCTATTCTCTGCCTCCCAAGTCCCAGCTGATCGGGAGAAAATGGGGATTTTGCAGTAACCTTCCCCTGGAGTGGGGAGGGAATGGAGATTTTGCAGTATTCTTCCCCTGCCATGCCCATCAAGCCACACCCACAGAACCGATAGTAAAAAATTTTGGAACCCACCACTGGGCTATAGCATAAGCTTATGATGAGGAAGGAAGGAAGGAAGGAAGGAAGGAAGGAAGGAAGGAAGGAAGGAAGGAAGGAAGGAAGGTTGTGTGCCTATGAAACTAAGAAAGGGGAAGGATATAATAAAACTAAATGAAAGGAGTCTGATTTTATGAAGTAAAACTGATTTAATACATGCAGAGACATTGAACTGTGAATAAAAGAGCTAAAGTGTATATCAGAAAATGTCATCCAGTTGTTGTGGCTGTATATGCAAGTAGAAATTCATAGATTGGTGATAGTTTCACCTTATTCTGTAGTGAAAGGAGGTAACAGAGGAACTATATTGATCCAACTAAGGGGGAAATTGTTCTGCTAAATAATATAAAAGGATGGATGGGAATGAGAAAAGAGCAAAGTGATTGGTCCATTTGGAGACCCAGGAATAAATGAGACCGGCCACTGAGTATCCGAGAATAGTTTGAGTATCTGCTTAGAAAAAGTTGTTTCAGTTATGAGGTTTAAGTAAAAGTATAGTATTCATTCAAGCACATAATGAAGTACTATATAGTAATTTAAAAGCATTATTGATTTGATTATGATGAAAGATTCATAGAATGAAAAGGAAGTTATAAATGCTGGGAGAATGTTGAAGAATGGAAAGCTTCCTTCATAGATGGTACATCACTGCAGGAATATCAAAACATGGGTGTAGTTTTTTTCCTTAGTTTATTCAATGTGCCTTGCAAATCTTTGGCAGAATTCTCATTAATTCTGTGTGAAAGGTAACCGTGGACTGTATTTGGGAAGAGCAACCTGGCTTTATACTGGCAGATGTGCAGCCAGATTTTGGTTCTTCAGCAAGTCAACTGAAATTATTGGAGGGGGCGGGCGTATCTGCCGGTTTAGAGAAAACACATGTGAAGTGAATAAGTATGAATAAAGGAATGCTTTGTCCAAATATGGAGTTGGTTCAGTTGTTGAATGCAATAAGAACTGCTTTTAATGGAAATACAGAATGTGTCTGAATGAAATGCTTATTGACTGGTTCAGCACTCAGCAGCATGATAAAGGCATATGATACCTTCCTGGTTGTTTAATGTATAAATGGATACCTGTAAATGGACGATTGTGGTGATGTTAGAGGTGTGTCCCTTGGAGACGTGAATGTATGCACACTTCTATGATTACGTGTATTTAACTGAGAACCCAAATCTTGGCTTTTCCAAATGCTTCTCCTTCTCTCCTCCCTCCCCCATCAGAAAACATTCCTACTACTACCACCTCTTCTTTTTTTTGTACTTTGGGCCAATCTTCTGCACGCATGTGGCTTAGGCTAATAGTGTCCTGTGGTGTCTTCATTTTTATTTAAATTATAATTATTCAACAGTCTTCCATAGGTATTTTATTTCCGTGCCCCACTTCTGCTACTAACAATTTAAGCAGAACAAATTAAAAATAAAGAGATGTTTTTACAGTCTTTCTGAAATACGAAATAAATGGAATTCAGTCTTTAAACTGCATACAGAAATCCTATAATTGCCCAAGCTTCACATTTGTGATGCAGGAGAATGTCCTTTCTTTTTCACCTGTTCAGAATATTCCCCTTCTATGTTGGGGAAATTTGCTAAAGGAAGGACTTCTCTTGAAGGCTTCAATACTGGGGTTGATCTCTAATATATCTTAAAATCTTGATCCTGGAAAGGATTTCAGAAAGAGTTAGCAATCAACGCAGATCTTTCCATACTGGACTGTTTGAGCCGAATACTAAATATCACCTGCAGTTTAATGGGTGCATTTTGCATTAGTTGAAGCTTGCTGAAGCATTGCAACTGACCAGCAGAGAGCACATGTGATGGCTAAAGACAAGGTTGATTATTTAAATTTCAAAGGAAAATGAAAAGAGGGGAAAAAATTCAGCTATATTTGAAAATGTTTGAAATCTTTCCAGGAAAAGGTAACGGTCCGCAAGGAATAAAGAGCATAAATATTTTGCATTGATTAAACTTAATATTTGTTCAGATGGATTCTCTAAGTTTGTTTCATGGAATAAGTTAGACAACCTAATGCTCTTTATAATAACAGCAGCCAATTTTAATCTGTTTTGTCAAAACTATCTCACAGAAGGCACTTCCTGACAGCTAATTTGATCAAATCCGCCTGTCTTTTTCCTATGGGATTCCCCCCCCCCTCCATTTAGCAGTAATTACTTTTACTTAAAAGTTCTATTTTAAGGCAATCTTCTCTAAGTGATACTCTCAGTTATACTGAATTTTAATATCCACCACTCCTAGTCATAAAATCATGCTAGCTGGGAATTTCATGAAATGATTCTGGACACCTCTGGAGAGAAAGGAAAGACACATTGAAGTCAAACTCAGCAACTCCAAGCACCTGCATCCATGCAGTTTCATTGGCAACCGAGATTTGATGCAGCTGTTGGAAGAAATGTCCTTCTGAGTCCAGTTCCAAGTGGGGAGAAAGACACTGGAAACATGGAGACTGCTTGGAAAGATAGTTTTTAATGGTGGACAGGACCACATGGTTTGAGGTCCTGGGGGAAAAAAGGGAAGAGATGCTGAGAGTCCCTGGGTCTTATACCCTCTCTGGCTTTGAACTTCCTGGGGCACAGGAAGAGTATCCTGATTGGCCACTGTCAGAGGTCATAGCTAGATTTTTAGGTTGTCTGTGTGTCAGTGGTGGGTTGCCCCTGATTCGGACCGGTTCTATAGAACCGGTAGTAAAACCGTCGGGAGGCTCTGCCCACTGACTCCAATGCCATCAGGAAGCTTCTGCGCATGCGCAGAAGAGTGTGCGGCTCCGTTGCGAACCGGTAGTAAAGGTAAGTAGAACCCACCCCTGCTGTGTGTTAAGTTTGATTGAATCTTCCTGGGTGATGTAATCTCCCCACATCCCATGTGGTGAGTTCTGTTGCTAGATGAGTAGAGGGCTAATCCCATCTTCCTTGGATCTTTGGTGAGGGCATTTGCTTATGAATAGACCTAGCTATCTCTTTATCTCTTAAGTGCTAACATCTGCTGTGGGCTATTGAGGAGGGTGGGGGCTATTAAAAGTGAGTCTGCTTCCTGCCTAAAAAACATGTTTCTCTATTTCTCATCCAGGGAGGTATAATATTCTGCCTTTTTAATATTTCCTAGAATATTTCATTTTTCTAGAAGATGGGTGGGTACTAACTTCCTACACAGCCTTCTAGGTGTGTTTTTGATATCATGTACGTACACACACACTCCAATGTTAACCCTGTTTTTTATTTATTATCTGCAAAGTCATTTTGATTCCCCATGTAAGGAATATTGTCCCCCTGGAGAAAGGCGAGATACCAACCAAAACAGGTAGTTCATCTTCTATCCCCACCCCTGATATATTGGCAACATGTAAAGAGAGTTTCTAGCATTTGGCAAGTGCTCCAGGGTTTGGAATAATTGAATGAAGCATCCCAAAAGGATAACTTTAAAGAACAGATAACACATACATTGTAATCATTAATAATTTTAAAAGAAAAAAGGATGAGAAATCTAATAGCAAGCAAAATGAAAGACTGACCAATTTTTAATTTAAAAAAAGCCAAACATTTAATTAAATATAGAATAGCATTCACTAGTGAGCTTAAGTGATCGGATTCAGACATGAAAACAGGACACTTTTTGTAACTGCATTCTAATAATATGCTCTCTCTTCCAAAAAATCCAAAATCCAAAGCAACAATAAAATCTAAATTTACATCATCTTATCATTAAAATTAGCTAAAATCTCATCCTATTTTAACTCTAACAAGGGTTTGCATGTATACAATAGAATGGATAACACAGTGGATTCTTAAAAGTTTCCCACTCCCCTGGAATGCCTGTTCATAACAAATACTTCAGAAACTTCCCTGAGCTTTGAGTGAGTAACTGAATATAGATCACGCTTACCTGGTTTCACTATTAATATATTCTTTCCCCTGGATGCAGCTGAAAAATCAGTGACCACTAGATGGCAGCCAAGGGCTAGGGTGATTTCGGAGGCGGCCTGCCTTTTTCTAACATCTATGGCAGCAGCCCCCAACCTTTTTGGCACCAGAAGCTGGTTTCATGGAAGACAAGTTTGCCATGGACCGGGGAGAAGAGGGGGGGGAGAATTGTTTTAGTTTCACTCACTCGCCCGCAGCTCACCTCCACCTCCTAACAACCCATGGACCAATACTGGTTGGGGAAACCTGATTTATTGGTCATCTAGATTTTTGCACCCCAAATCTAAACAGAATACCTGAATTTATTGCCCTAATCAAGAGGCTCAAAGAGAACATCTTGATGAAAGATAAGACAGAACTCTAACAGATGGGAAACTGTATACAATAAAATTAACACACTTCATCAAGTAATTTAATCCCAAAGATTACATGTTGTTCTAGAGTGCAAGACTGGAATGGAACACATCTGGATTTTTAAAAACAAAGCAGGTCCTGAGTGCTCCTATTACAAAGTGTCTATGACAAAAGAGCTTCTCTAAACACAGAGTAGATGCGATTGTGCTGTGACCAATCGCAAGACATGCACATTTGTCAAGACAAACAAAACAAGTTGCTTTCTGCCATGTCATCAGGATCCCTCTGCTCCCTTAGCTTCCCTTTGCTTTTCTTCTTCTTTGGCATACTTTCATTTCCAAACAGTTCGATGCAGTCAGCTGTCATTTTTAAAGAATTATAAAGAGGTCCTTGGGGTAATGGTAGCTATGGCCAAACAGAACCTGCTCAACTTTAAACCACAAAGCAAAATGGGGCAGAAGCTGCCCAATTTTCAACCAAAGAGTGTCTTTGACAAGAAGGCAGCTGATTTCCAAAACTAGCTGTACTGATGAAGAGGTGGGATGTTTTTTATAAGAGTTCGGGAATCTAAATAAGAAGTGTGCACTTGTCAGGGGCTAAATTTAATTGAATATAATAGGACTTACTTCCAAACAGAATGTCCTGGCTGAGCTATTTTTCTGTAGTTCCACCCATTTAGAGATGTATATTACTGGGTTGTTTGTTCTTATGTGCTTTAAAAGTGGAAGATACCATATTGTCTTCACCCAACACAATCATATGAAGTACCAAATTTTATAGGCAGAAAATGTTCCTTTCTTGAAAAGTCCCTGCCCTTTTCCCCATTAAAGTGATTGAACATGGCTTCCGTCTTGTACAGATGTTGCTCACCATGTATGGTACACTCCATGTTTTGAACTTGACCCTACAATTAATTGACAGCATTAACTGTTATGAATGCTTGACACTGACATTGAAGGCATGTGGAAAAATATAATTTGGCAATATTGTTCAGAATGACACAGATCACTTCTTCTTTGCTACTTTTGCTGATCAGTTGATTTGGGATTGTTCTTGAACACCTGAACTCAGTCTCTCCCAGGTCGAGAGACTAAGAGGTCATTTTTAGATGGCCATCAAAGCAAAAACATCCTTGCTCGAATTAGGCATTTATGCAGAAAGGCTTATACATTGTACGGCTGAATCCCAACCGTATATTGATGCTCTTGCTTCGACCAGGAATATATATTAGGCCCATTTATGGCAATAAAAACACATTAGCACATATAGCACAAAAATGAGATGTTCTGCAAGGAGAATTATTGTAATTTTTTTGGTATTTTGGAAAATGAGAACTTTGCAAGCTCAAGATGTTTGTAATCACAGTTAGAACAATAAGTCATCCCTGCAGTAATTCTCAACTCAGCAAAGTGTAAACACTTGAATCTCTGATACTATATAATGCATGATCTGATTCTGCTGCCATTTGCCATTCTTGAGAATCTTAAGTCATCATTTAAATGGAATAATAGTGCATATCAGAACAATGATTCACAGGATTAACTACAGATACATTTGCAAAGAAAGAAGAGCACCCGACACAACTAATCACCCCGTATTTTTGTATCTGTTGTCTTATTTTCATCCCTTCAGCAGCAAGCAAAATACCAATGGTGCATATTGGCTTGTATCACAGTGATCCACGAGGGAAGGTGTAGCGTGCTAAACATCGAGGAATTCATTCGCCCAGACAAAGTGCTTCTGGAATCTTCAAGGAATTTTCCTAAAGTTCTGATTCCTATTTTTTTTAAAAAAAGAAATATGTATATAAATTATTACAGCATTTTTTTTTATGCTTACAAAAAGAATTTAATGTGTACAATATGAATTAGGGAAAAATTAAAATAAACAATTAAAAATCATAATTATGGCGGCTTAGCAAAATCATATAACTAAATTTAAAAATATTGATCAGGAGAAATTAAAAATACAATGTAACAGAAATGGCTGCCAGCAAATCAGCTCATATTTCAGCCTTCTTTTCTGTTTTTGTTACTGTTTTGCTTTTTGCTCTAAATATAAGACAGTTTCCCAGGTAAACCAGACTGGAAACACAAGCAAGATGACCTATTCTACTTTTTTATAAAGCTACATTAACAGAATCTTGCAAGTCTGAAAGTACATATTTCCCGCTGTCTCTTGAGAAACTGAGAAAGGCTTTCTCCACCCACTGTGCACCTATGGGCTATTTTATCTGACTGTTCTCTTATCTGACTGCTCCCTAGGCGGAATTTCTTTACCCTCTCTCTCAAGATCTTTCTCACATATCATTACAAGCATACACTCTCCAAATCAATTAATCACAAAATTCTTCCTTAAAAGCCATCTGAAGGGAGCATTGTTGCAATGCTCCCTTCAGAATATCACACACACACACACACACACACACACACACACACACACACACCAGTAGTGGGTTGCCCCCGGTTCGGACCAGTTCGCAAGAACCATTAGTAAAACTGGCAGGAGGCTCCGCCTACTGACCCGGACGTCATCAGAAGTGATCTGCACTTCTATATATAAGTTAAGTTCATTTGCCACTATATCTCTTTCAAAATTTCAAGGACAGCCAACACAAGTTACACAACTATTCCAGTCAAGTTCAGAATGGCAATTTTTCTTCTTATGGGGATTCCAGATTATTCACCTAGAGAGAGCTAACCAGGGAAAAGTTCCACTATTTTCCCACTGAGATTAATAAAGTCATAACAAATACCATGTGAAAAAGGGCCAATTTATTTGAGAATTTATTAGATCCCAAAAAAGCCAAATGAAAATCAGCTGAATTACCTAGAGATAATTAAATAGGGCTAATGTGTGTGGATGACTAATATATGGCATCAAAAAGATACAGAAAACTTTTAATGCTTTGCTCCCATCTAGTGGCTGTCTGGATTTTTGCAGCCCAGGTAACCTTATAATTGTCTTCATTTCTTCATGACTGACAGCAATATCACTATGGAGGTTCCTGTTTCAGTCTCAGTTTCCTAAAATTGCTTATGCTGCTTCCCTATTTCACTCTAATTACACAAGAAAGATAAAATACACTAAAACACCAAATGCAAACACTTTAAATTTTAGTTTATAAATATTCACCTGTGAGGCCAAATTAGTCTTCAAGCGAAGAAATGTAAAGACGGTGTTACTTTCCTTGGATTCAAAAAACGAGTCGTAATCCTAAAGATAAAGAAAGGATTTTTTAAAAGTATACTTTTAAAATGTTCATCCTTCAACACATAAATGTGTGTGTGTGTGTGTGTGTGTGTGTGTGTGTGTTAGTGTGTGTGTGTCCTCCAGATGTATTTGATTAATTCCCACCATCGTTGCCAGTATAAGTTAAGTCAGTGTTTCTTTTACTCTGGCAACTTTAAGATGTGTGGATTTCAACTCCCAGAATTCCCCCAGCCAGCCATATTGACTATGGAATTCTGGGAGTTGAAGTCCACGTCTTCAAGTTGCCAAGGTTGAGAGACACTGAGCCAAGGATTATAGGAGTTAGTCTAGTTACATCATGAAAGTGATATATATAGTCAAAAAATACAGTGTGATCAACCAGTTAAGATATATAAACAAATAACTAATAATGTCCCCCTGGAGATACAACCGGTGCCCACTTTTCTGAAGCTTTAGATAGCCCTTAAGAATCATCTCTGTTCCCAGGTCTGGGGTTCATGTATTAATGTATTTGCAGAGCCCCTGCTGTATTTAGACATTTTTTTTTTTTTAATTTGATTTATATGCCGCCCTTCTCCGGAGACTCAGGGCGGCTTACAGTGCATTAAGCAATAGCCTTCATACTTTTGTATATTTATACAAAGTCAGCTTATTGCCCCCACAAACTGGGTCCTCATTTAACCTACCTTAGAAAGGATGGAAGGCTGAGTCAACCTTGAGCCTTGGAGAGATTCGAACCAGCAGTAAATTGCAGGCAGCTGTGTTAATAACAGGGTGCTTTAAACCACTGTAGTACCAAGGCTCTTTTTTACCTCTTATGTGTGTTTGTTTTTATTGTCTTCTGGATTTTGTAGGCCACCTGGAATCTAATAGAATGGGCAACTACAACATATTTAATAAACTAAATTTAGAATTGAAGATAATTCTATTTTGTTCATCCACCTAAAGTGTCTGGTAGAAATACAATAGAATAAATTGCAGCGTTCCTCACAAGAAATTGTGCTGCTTTCCTTATGATATGAAAACACAGGATAAACAATAAATTAAATATTTACTTTCCTTCCCAGTACCACTGCCCCACAGATCAGTACAGATCAAAGGACTATAAATGGCTGCTTAATCTGCTCATCTATTCCACTGCCAGACTGGATATAGAAGTGTAAATAATTAACCACTCAAACCCATTTATAACAAGGTAATTATATACAGATTCATTGCTCATACATTCCCTGTTCTGCCATTTCACTCAAACACTCCGACTTCAGAGACAACCCCCAAGCCGTGCCAACACCTTTGAAACAAGTTCAACAACTTCTTCTGGTTTCAAGTTTGATGTGGAAAAGAAATCAGAGTTCATGATTTCTGGTTGTAATATCTAACTCTTCAGGCCAAACATGACAAACCAGCCCTACTCTGAAGCTCTGCTTGCTGAGTGACCTGGGTCATTTACTCCCATTTAGCCAAGGCTAGTATGGGATCTCCTGATTTGAAATGACAAAGCAAAATCTCAAGAGGTTTTAAACATGAAAGCTGAAACACCAAAAGCAGGTTCACCTGTGTTATCACGCAGGTTTGATTTATTTAAAAAGGAATCTGATATGTCTATTCATTGCCCTGAAATCATAATCAGTCAATTTTTTAAATCTCACATATCTGTTTATTATTTATTTATTAAACATATTTGTAGCCCCATCCACTATCTGTAGGATCTCACATTTCAGATTACACATGCACAAATAAAAAAGGATCTATTTTAACTGGGGTAAGAATGGAATGTATTTCTGCAATTTTATTTTACCCATAGTAGGATATAGATAGTTACTTTTTTAAAAAAAACCGTTTTACTTCTATTGTTACGCCACATCAAGTGGAAGAATTTTTTTTCCTTGACATAACATTCAAATTCATATGACCCTTGTTTTTCTTTATCTCATATTAGCAAAATATAGAAAAAAAATACTCTTCATACCAGATGCAAAGCTGGTATTTTGCATATATTGTGCTCAATCACAGTTACTGCTTTCCATTTTCCATTATGTCATTTTGATAGCTAATTGCTTTTGGCTAAGTGTATGATGTAACTCCCATCTATCATGGTTTATAAAATGCAGTTTATGGCTTAGCATATGAGAATTCACTATTTATAGGTCATCCAAGGTATATTTTACATAGCCATGAGTTTGTGTGATGTGTGAACCCAGTCAATATTAGTTCACTGAAGCACATACCAGTAGCTTTTTTCCTCCAAAGGAGGAAGTCTTAAGTCTAAAATGGCTCTACCCTCGTGGAAACAACATTTTCCCATTTTCTTTGTCCATAAGCTTTTTTCCCAATTGTGAAAATTATTACAGGTTTGTTTTCAGAGAAGTGAACCTCAAGTTTCAACAATGAAAGTTGTTCTCCTCCATTAAGGCTCATCAGGATGAGTACAGCTCACTAAACAGTCACTTTCTCTCAGCCAACCCAGCTCACAGGGCTATTGTTGTGAGGGGAAAATAGGAGAAGGAAGGAATAATATGTATGTTTGCCACTTTGAATTATTTATAGTTACAATGGCTGGATAAAAATCTAATAAATAAACTATTCTGCCAGTTCCCTATTCTGTCCCATGTTACAGGAAGTGTATAAATTTAATTAAAAAAATAAAAATAATAATCCAAATTAATTGGAGTGATAAGGATGAAGAAGCACATTTATGCTAAGTTTTTTTCTGAATGCCTAGCACTGTTCTATAGCTCTTCTTCTCAGGCCTTCCCTACTATAATTCAAGATGTAATATTGCAATTACTCCTTTCTCACATAAATTAAAGCACTGTCTTAATTATTTTATCCACACTCCTTAAACTCTGATATTACTATAATCTAGTGCATTAATAACCTATAATTAAAATAGTCTTTGTATGTTGTTGTTTGAAAGGCTTCTTCTTGTACTTTTAAAAACTTAATTAATCTCCTGAAATGACGCAGATTAACTTCTCTTATCACTCCATTCTAACAGGAAAAACTTGCACTGAATTTCTGCTACAAAAATAGTTGGATTATAATTCAGCATTATTTGATAGTGATTCCCTCTCCCTCCCTCCCTCCCTCCCTCTCTCTCTCTCTCTCTCTCTCTCTCTCTCTCTCTCACACACACACACACACACACACACACACACACACACACACACACACACGAAGTCCATATGCATTATTCTCTTTCAGGGCCAGAATATTGTACCAAATGCTAACAATGAGTGGGGAAAGTATTTAACATTAAAGTGAATTAAATATTTAATAAAACATTTAATAAACATTTAATATATGTAATAAAAGTTATTAAATCCAGAAGAAAAGAGAATAGGGAAGGAAATTCATGATAGTTCGCACCAATATCTTTCCCTATACCTTTTCATTCTTTTTCAAATATCTTCACTTTCGCACATTGCTTCATAGATTATTCTCTATAAACTTTTCATTTCTCTCCCTTTGAGAATTTTCATTCAACTACTTTCTTGGTCTTGCCCTTCTTCTCAAACTATTCACTCTTCATATACTTGTTAAGAAATCTATTCTCTCTATATGACCAAATCATATACAGTGGTACCTTGGTAGTCAACTGCTTTGAAAGCCATTAAATTTGCTACTCAACACATTTTGATGTGAACATTTTGTCCCGGTACTCATTGTTTGTTTGGTATGCAAGGCACAAGCTACAACTTGTCGGTGTTGGCTGCCTGCTGCTTGCTGCCTTGCTACATTATTCCTTATGGGAAAAATCTGTTCAGTATTCATCGTTTTTAGTACTCATTGAGCATCTCAGAACCAATTAACAATGAATACTAAGGTACCACTGTAGATGTCATACTGTTTATCAATTTTTATTCATTCATCAGCCATTCATTTTTGACCTTTTTTATTTTACCACGTGTCTCTTAAGTGGTTCATTCCCATTGCATTCAGCTTGCTTTATGTAATTTATATAATATACAACTCTTACTTCCATGTAATAAAGTAGGCAAGAGTACACTCTGGTACACAACAATTTTTGCTTTTAACTTTCATTCCTTGCATCACACCACATCCTATTATGTACACCATGTTCCTATTATGGCTTACATATCTAAAAAAAATCTTCATCAACTTGTTTTATTTTTTCATCATTTATGTACAATTTGCAATCATTTCATCTTCCCTATGAAACAGAACCATCTTGTTTCTGTTATATTAATCTTCAGATCCATGTTGTTTGTGGCATCATACAACCTACTTAACATTCATTATAATTCATTCAGGTTCTCAGTCAACATTATAATTCATCCCTGAACCTTTCACACTTTACTTCTATCCTACAAAAAAAAACAACCCACCCCAAACTGAAATCAGACTTGTTCAAGGCCATGTTCTAAACATACCTACACATCTAGAGGCTGAATAACAATGGTAATCTAGTTCTCACATTACATTAAACTAAACACAAGAAAAGTCATTTGATGGCTTAACTGGTATAAATAAAGCCAAGGACCTGGCTCCTTTTGCAGTTTTTATATTATGAATAAGCTCCACCTCCCACATTTTCTTTCTGCAATAATCCACATTCCACATTTACCAAGTCACTCTTCAAGCAAGAACACTTTGAAGTGGCATTTCTTTTAAGCACCAAAAATAGCACCATATAAACATGTCCTATTGAACATAAAAAGGGATGTGATGTGAAGGAGGAGAATACAAAAGGAAGTAAAGAATTTTGTAGACGAGAGAGGAACAGAAGGAACTCATAGGAGTACACAAACTCAGTTTTTATACTTAGGCACCCAAGAATTTAAAAAATCCTTTTAATTTTATCAACAGGTAAAATGCCAAATAAAATATTTTAAGAGATACACAAGTATTTAGATTACACAGCGAGTAATCATTTAAAAAATAGGAATAGTCTAATAAAAAATACAGTAAAGGTATAAGAAACACAAATTTAAAAACGGAAAGAACTGGGAGACGAGAAAAAAAGGAGAAAAAGCAAAATT